GCCCTTTCCATCAGTTCGGACTTTTGGTTACGTTGGCTAGTGCATGAAGCTTAACATGATATCAGAGCCTAAGGTCTTGAGTTCAAATCCTGGCTTTCGCAATTTATCTAAAAATTGCTGCTGCCCCCCTTTGTTTCCACGTATAGGTCTCCTGAGCCATACCTCTGAGACTATCCACATGTTGACTTCCCGCGTCACACGTGAAAGGGAGTGTTGAAGTGTATATGTGGATTGCCTAGCCCTTTCCATCAGTTCGGACTTTTGGTTGCGTCGGCTAGTGCATGAAGCTTAACAATATGTTCCTTGTAGGTTTTGTCACAACCATTTTATCTTCTATTTTACCTATGCGTTGCTCAACAGAATCTTTTGCTATGGACTTATAATGTGAAATTTTGACACTGAGCTGACATGGAATTTCAGGTCGACACTGTGAATGATTTGTGGGACAAAATATTTGGAAATTATGGATCATGGTGTCACTATTTGCATGTTAGTTCAAGAATCATGTAAGTGGTGCATGGTTTTGTGATTTTGTTTCATGCTATTACCATTAAATCTCCTGTAGCATTTAACATTTCTTAATACCATTGCTCTGTGTCATAGGATCAAATATGATGACACAGAACTAAAGAAGCAGCAGCTAATGCTTCTCCACATTGGATTGTACCTTCTTATCTGGGGTGAGGCTTCAAATGTCCGGTTTATGCCTGAGTGCTTATTCTACATATTCCACCATGTAAGGCCCCCTTCAAAGGAATTGTATTTTCTAGCTACCTTCAAATGAATATACTTATACAATTGAGTATCTTACTTTAATAGCTTATTGGTTGTGATTGATCTATTTAAGTTACATGTATATGTTCCAGCCACAGTTAAATAAATTGTATTGTTGAACTGTTGGTATATGGTTTCATGATTCGTAGTGACTCCAACTTATTTGCTCTAACAATTTTCTTTGCATCTTTTTTGCACTTTTGGTAACAGTGTGCTTGTAGCTCCTTCATCATTTACTTAACTGGCATGCCTCTTGTCCAACTGCTACTGATTCTAACAAATATGAGCTATTTCATTTTCGTCAGTTCCATCACCCCAAGGTTGTAAAGAAATGGTTTTAATCACTGACCAGCTGCCATGAACATGAATATCACATTATGGCCCAATTATAATTTATAACCATGTCTCTCTGAATAGTACCACTTTACGAGACAATCATAAAATAATGAAGGTGGACTAATATAGTTTACCATGAGTCTTACATCCATTCAGCTAACCTGTTATTATACACAAAGATTGGCAATTCATGGAAGTTTATTGATTTGGCAGATGGTAAAACAGTTGAATCAAATGGTTGAAGAAAGTTATTTTCAACCACCACCTGGGTTTGAAGAGGAGGGATCATTCCTAAACATTGTCATTGAACCTATCTATAAGGTTCTGCAGAAGGTGAGTATGTAAAGTTTGAAACACAGCTAGATTATCCTTGCAGGAGAATATATTGTTCTTACAATTTTGTTTTTTCTTTCACTCTAAAGGAATCACAAAGAAGTAAAGGTGGTACAGCTGGCCACTCAGCTTGGAGAAATTATGATGACTTGAATGAACAATTCTGGTAAACTTATTTTCTTATTTCTTATTTATCTTTTCGTCCGACATAATATTTTCTTCCTTGTAGGTCAGAGAAATGTTTTATGAAGCTTGGCTGGCCATGGGATCTCAGTGCAGACTTCTTTCATCAAGAGGTATGTCATAACTGTGCTTAATTTGATACATCAGCCAGGGCAACTGCCTATTTAAATGGCTAGAGTACGATTGTCTTACTGGGGAGTTTACTGTCGAGTGTTTGATTAACCACATTATGGCTTCACCTTGAATGAGTAAGGTTTTTTGTGATGTCAACTTAGTGCTCATAAGGTCGTGGCAGATCCAGGGTTTTATGGGTGAGACTTGGGGCTTACAACTATTTAGTTACATTATGCGCACTATTTCAGTTGAACTGTTTCTCATTGCAAGGATCGCAACAACAGTAACAGAGAGGATCATCAGAAGGAATCTTCAGGATCTGGTGAGGATGGCTCCGCTCCGCTCCCTCCCTGCTCCTCCTAGCCCACCCACCCCCAAGCCCCTCCGCCGCCGGTGAGCCCCTGCCGGTTGCCTCCCCTCCTTGCTCCCGCTCCCTGCCATGGCGGCCTCCAGTGCTGACCCTGTCGAGCCCCGAGGGACCCTCTCCGGCGATCGCGTGTCCTCTGGTGACTGCTGGTTCGATTCGGAGAGCGAGTCCTCGACGCGCTCGTACATCGACGTCGCACGCACCCCGCCGGCCACTCCCGCGCCGCCCGCGCCCCCAGCTCTCGCTCGCGCCGTCGTCGCCGCTCCACGGCAGCCCGCTGCGAGCCGCCTCGGCCCCCGCTCCGAGGTGCACCATGCTCCGGGTGGTGTTCAGGTGGATGCTGACGGCTTCCAGCAGCCTCGACGCTGGAACCGCCGTCGTCGCCCGCGCGCCAGGATGGCGAGACCTCCTCCCCGCAGCCCCGGCGCCGCAGCCCATCCCCGGAGGAGGTTGCCGGGCTCTGCTTCCGCTGCCTGGACCCTCGCCACCGCGTGCGCGACTGCACCAACGAGGTCCGATGCCGTCGCTGCTTGCTGTCAGGCCATGACTCGCGCTCCTGCACCCCCCAGCGTCGGGAGGCCGCACGGCAAGCTCGCGCCACCCTTGTCGGCCGCGCGGACCAGGCTGCGGGAGCGCGCGCCACCTAGGCACCGCCGCCGCATCCTCCCGCGGCTTCGGTGATCATCGCGCCTGCGGCACACGCACCCGCGCCAGTGAGAGTCATCATGTCGCACTCTGTCGAGATGGAGGAGGCCGAGGAGGTTCTAGCGCGCGCGATGGTGGCCTCCATCACCGGCAACCGGCCGCAAGTGTTTGCCGCCGAGGTCTCTGACTTGCTCATCAGTTCCCTCAAGCTTGCGGATGGTGATTTCTCGGTCCATACCCATCACCCTGAGGATTTCCTGATTCTCTTCAACTCCCGACCCACCATGCGTCGCCTGAACGGTGACCACTTCATCAACTCCCCGCGGTTCTCCCTCTCTGTTCGCCCCTGGAGCAAGCTCGCTCATGCGGGTGCCGGCGAGTTCGAGTATCACGTTGAGCTGGAGCTCCGTGGCATTCCCGCCCAGGCATGGCATCTTTCGACTGCTGGCAAACTCCTGAATAGTTTGACACGGAATTGGTACAACCAGTCAGTATATAATTTTGCAATCGTCATTTATATGATTCCGAACATTTTGGCTGCCTTGCTTTTCTTGTTGCCACAACTTCAAAATATAATGGAACACTCAAATTGGCGTGCAGTTATTCTTCTTATGTGGTGGATTCAGGTCAGTCTTTCCTATTTGTAGCAAGCAAATTGCTGTAAAGTGAGCATTGTTAGTGCTTACATAACGTTTTGTTGCCTTTTAGCCAAGATTGTATGTTGCACGTGGTATGCATGAGGACATATTGTCCATTTTTAAGTAAGTGTGTCATATGTCTATCAAATTATTGTTTTTCCTTTCAGTTGAGAATGAAAATTTAATGTGAATCAACAGGTATGTCTTCTTTTGGGTCGTGTTGCTCACCTCCAAGCTTGCATTTAGTTTCTATGTTGAGGTAAATTCTGAACACTTCATGGAGTACTTTTCCGAAGTGAATACATCTTTAGAGTTTGGTGATTTACTATCTATACTCTTCAGTGCATATACATTAAGAGAATTAAAATGTAATAATTAGTATAAAGCAGATATGAAATTATTAAGTGTTGAGATTTTTCACACCAACGATACCATATAATACAAGGATTCTGGTCCTGTGTTCTGACATGTGTGACATTATCAATGTATAACCTTCAACACTTCAATGTCATTATCAGATGTATAGATATTGAAGAAATTCTACAACAACAACAACAACAACAACAACAACAACAAAGCCTTTAGTCCCAAACAAGTTGGGGTAGGCTAGAGGTGAAACCCATAAGATCTCGCGACCAACTCATGGCTCTGGCACATGGATAGCAAGCTTCCACGCACCCCTGTCCATAGCTAGTTCTTTGGTGATACTCCAATCCTTCAGGTCTCTCTTCACGGACTCCTCCCATGTCAAATTCGGTCTACCCCGACCTCTCTTGACATTCTCCGCACGCTTTAGCCGTCCGCTATGCACTGGAGCTTCCGGAGGCCTACGCTGAATATGCCCAAACCATCTCAGACGATGTTGGACAAGCTTCTCTTCAATTGGTGCTACCCCAACTCTATCTCGTATATCATCATTTCGGACTCGATCCTTCCTTGTGTGGCCACACATCCATCTCAACATACGCATCTCCGCCACACCTAACTGTTGAACATGTCGCCTTTTAGTGGCCAACACTCAGCGCCATACAACATTGCGGGTCGAACCGCCGTCCTATAGAACTTGCCTTTTAACTTTTGTGGCACTCTCTTGTTACAGAGAATGCTAGAAGCTTGGCGCCACTTCATCCATCCGGCTTTGATTCGATGGTCACATCTTCATCAATACCCCCATCCTCCTGTAGCATTGACCCCAAATATCGAAAGGTGTCCTTCTGAGGTACCACCTGCCCATCAAGGCTAACCTCCTCCTCCTCACACCTAGTAGTACTGAAACCGCACATCATGTACTCGGTGTTTGCCCAGCAAAACATCATTGCTAACCCATATATCGACGCTAATGCTTGATAGACTCTCCGGTTGAGCCCAGGCAGCTGCTTGGGGTCGCCGTGAGCTGCTCCATCCCTGATTGTTTCCCTTGGATTAACAAAATACCTGGAATCAATCTGCAGTGAAGTTGTTGATAATGCTTTGTACTGGTGATATACCTAGCACACGATGAGCATATGCTCTTGAATTCTAGATACGGTAATGTGGAAATCTAGCCTCCTAAAATCAACATTCTTGATGTGTGAGCGTCTCCTGAAGTGCAGATGACAGCTCCTTTTAATTAAAGTGGTTTTAGTTACAGTAATAGTATATTAATTTCTCCTAATGAGTAATGACTCCTCTAGTCCTCTGACATTATAGCTTTGCTTCCTTATTTATTTCTTGATTGTGATACATTTTCTTGTGGCTTAATCAACAACTCTAGCTATTTGTTTCTCCATAAATCTTGAGATACTATAAGATATATGTTGAGAAAAAAATATGGAACTAAGTTACTCGGAGCTGGCTGTATGTCAGATAGTCTCCCTCTTCACCTCACTTGTTTAAAATTTAAATCTTCAATATTTGGGGCCTTTTAACCTGAGATGTCCCCTACAGGGAAGCGGAGCATACATGGTCACTTAGTTGGTTGAGTGTCACGCTTTTGTCAGTTAATAGCATTTAGTTTGCCATTGACGATAGCACAGTCCCAAGTGTTTTAAAATTCTCATGGACCTGCACGTTGTAAGTTCTGTTTTTTGATTGATTACTATGTGGGTTAGCATTAGATAGGTTAACTGTATGAAATCAGAGTTTAGGAGTATTACTTTGTAAGTTTCTGCTTATTTCACCACAGCAAGTGTTTTATTCCATTGTGGTTGGAGAGTTTTGAAGTGTTTCAGCAAGTGCTTGCTACTAACTAATGCTTCACTTCATTTTGCAGTGGTCACTGTAATAATACTGAGGCAAATCTACAACTAGGCCCCCACCCAACAGTCATACATTAGCTATTCTCACAAACAATAAATAAATACATTGTGTATTAAGATGTTTCAGTCCTTCTACTGATATTTTGTTTACTTCCCAGAACCAAATCATGATCCGGTTATTCAGGTTTATTTTATTACCTTTGTATTTTGATAAGCCACTACATTTAATTTCTGATGTGAATGCCTTTATGTGGTAGCTGAATGAGTGTTCTCTTTTTTCTGCCTCTGACTTGAAGGAATATATTTTTTAATATATCGATGCTCATCATTGCCATGTCTGGCTGTCTGGTTCATGCTACACAGAAGCTTAGATCTGTAATCAAGCTATGGAAGAGAGTACTGTAAGAGACACTTCTATAAGCAGAGATATGTGCCTGAATTTACACCTTAATTATACCTCAATTAGGTATGTATGGTTCGTCTCATTCATGTTGAAATGATTTTTCCTTAGTCTGTTAATCGTATAGTAATTACACGGTGTAGTACTATGGCAGTGGTATACTGATTTGGCGTAAGAACTACTGACATGGCTTCGTGTGTACAAATGTTACAGGTTTATGATATTAAGAATTAGCAGCGTGTTTTTTGTTTACTGTTGATTGATATGCAGACTTGCTTTTTTTATTCAGTTGAAGAGCTCTCCTGGCTTAAGATCTTTCTAGGATAATTGCGTTGTTAAATCTGAAGGTATATTATTGGTTTCTCAACTCATGTATTGATAAGCGTTTTTTTCATCCTCAATATGTTGTTGCTTGCCTGAGTTGTCCTACATTTGTGAGGTGGCCGAGGAAGTTCAGTTCTTGCAGGCGGCGTAAAACTGGAACTGCCTACAGATGATTTTGCCAGTTCGATGGAAACTTAAAATAACTAAGGGAACTTTCTCAGTTTTTTAGTTTTTTTAGTTTTTTCTCTTAGATTTTTGGCTGGGGTATTATCATGTACGTCACACAGTAAATTTAGATCTTAATGCAAGATTTAATAGGGATAGATTCTTCTGCCATGTTGAAAAATTAGAATTACAAAGAAGAAAAGAAATTATTAAAGAAGAGATATAGTCGATTTGGTTGTTGAGGTGTTTCTTTGATCTTCCCTAGACCTCCTGTTTTCGGTTGGCATGGTGATGATCTATTTCTTCTGGTGTTTCTCTGGTTCAGGATTCACTCATGTGCCAAAGCCAGCTCGGGGAAGCCTTCCTGAACTCCTGGTCGACCACGACAACCACGACACGGTGAGTAGATTTTGAATCTTTCTTGCGGCGTCGGATTGGATTCGGTGTGTATACAGAAGTTATGGATTGCTGACAGCTTAATGTTCTGTTTCTTCTGTGTACTATGGTGTGCGTATTGTTTTCAGATCTTAAGCAAGCGGAACACCGAAGGAGGATCTTGGGGATGACGGAGGCGTCGATGACAACCTCAAAGGCGAGAGGTATTGATACTGCAAATTGCTTTCATGTCGCTGCGTTTCTTACTTTATGCAACTCCTTCGGTAACTAGGTATTAAGGCCTTATAGTTGGTGGGGAGCAACGAAAAACTGAATTTGTGGATTTTATAATTTGGACGATCTGTTTGATACGTCTGCACTGCTGATGCAGAACATTGATCAAGACAATGTGGGTTTAGAAATGAGGAAAACAAATTGGCTTGCAGGGTTTAGGCTACCCTCTTGTGCCTGTTTTGCCTTGTGATTACTTGAAATTGCAACCTGCAGATTGAACGGGCACTTGATTTGTTAGGACGAAAGGCTGAACCAATGAAAGCTGCAGGTTCAATTGCTTTTGCAGCAGAACTGCGAACATCATCAGCATCAGCCTACAGAAAATCTTTGAGAAGAGTACACCCACGTGATCTGATTGCAGAGCTAACACTTTTGCCTCTTGAGTTGGTGCTACATACAATTGTTTAGTTGAATAAATTATAATGCTGGTAGAGCTCGTTTGTTTTCTCCTTTGATCTGAATGGCATGGAAAATCTTCATTCATTTCATTTAGTAATTTTACTTAATTTTCTATGCTATTCAGTAAACCTTGCTTTTTTAAATGAAGCCAAAGCTTTCATCCCTCTTACATAAAAGATAAAACAAATATCGTGATGCTAACAACAACTGTTAGTTTGCTAACAATCGATGACAAATGTGTATGGACGTATGAAAATGGTAGGATGAGACGCTTTGAGGCGCTGCAGCAATACAAGTGCGCACAACTTCATGTCAAGAGGCGCGCCATGGGCGCACCCCAGCCCCTAGTGTGGGTTTTCAAGCGGTGGCTGATGTGGATCACACCATCAAGCATTCAGTTCATGCTGTCATGTTGACTGGATGGGCAGGACACTGAGCTCTCATCACTATCTCATGCCGTATGTCTCACTCGGTTCCCTCTATTTACTGATTAGTGACGTAGTGAAGACGTTTTATCCTACTCAGCCAAAACCACTTGTGAATCGACCCAAAGTTGTAAAGCAGAGGATTTTGGTACATCGAGGATGCAACCAAATGATTTAGAGCTCTGGACTGAAGTGGACATTTTTGCAAAGTAGATTTTTTTCCTGTACCTGTGGCGATATTTGACTTATTAATTTCTCTAGAGGGTCAATACTCTAGTTACTAATAGTATTTTTGCTAACTTTCTGTAGTGCCGCACAATCTCGGTGTGGTCATTACTATATGGGCACCAATTGTTTTGGTACGTAATTAGAGCTATGGAAGTTCTAACATAAAAATTAACTAATGGTAGTTCTTATGCTATTCTTTTTGTCATAACAACTACCGCCTCGTCTTGTAGGTGTACTTTATGGACACACAAATATGGTATGCTATTTTCTCCACTGTCTTTGGGGGTGTTTCGGGTGCCCTTAGTCATGTCGGTGAGGTCAGTCATCCTTTCCTCTGTCCTTTATCTTTCCCCTGTGTTTGGGGCCCCTTTTATGGGATGCATGCGTGTACAATGCTAAACTCTGGTGGTTTCATTCTGAATGGAACTAGCGGATGGCCTTTTGCTCTTAAACGAATGTTCGTTTGTAAGAAACATTAGTTATCAGATTTTACCTTTTGCTTTTGATGCAGATACGTACCCTAGGCATGTTGAGAGTCAGATTCAAATCAATGCCAGATGCTTTCAGGAAATGTCACGTGGCAGCACATAAAGAGGTTTTATACTCGCAAATGTTTTAGTTTCTTTTGAGTTTTTTGTAATCATCGTTGGCCCATGTGTCCATTTCGAAAAAGCACGCAAATGTGTTATTTCTTTGCTCAAAATACTAGGAAGTTAACCCATGCTTGCTAAAGACACGTGGTTTTGACCGACTTTGATATCCTACTTTCCAGCAAGCACTTGATGTGAGGAGCTTCTTTTGTGTTTGGAATTCATTCATCAATTCCTTACGAGAGGAAGACTTCATTAGTGATAGGTTCGCACTGTGAACTTTCTTATATACTAATATAATATGCCATTCACCTTTATGATTTTATTTCTCAGAGAGAAGGACATGTTGATGGCTCCATCGTCTTCAAGTAATTTACCTATTGTTCCGTGGCCTCCTTTCCTCCTTGCTAGCAAGGTGTGTAATAGGCATATGTGTGCAGATAGATAATCGAATGCTTTTTGTTGCCTTTGCAGAGATGCTCATGTACTTTTGAATATACTAGGTACCAACAGCTCTCCATATGGCCATGACTTCCAAAGAGGGGGATGAACATGAGCTGATCGAAAAAATCAAACTAGACAAGGACAGATACAATGCAGTTATAGAATGCTACGAGTCCTTGAAAATAATAGTTGTTTGTCTTCTGCTAGACTATAATGATAAAAGGTAAGAACAATACTCGTTTATTACCTGTCGAATTCGAATTTGACATGGGTTAATCTGTTTTATTCTTCAAATATTCAGAATTGTCCATGATATCGATAAAATAGTGCGAACTAGTATGCAAAATAACACACTTTTGGACGACCTCGAGATGGCAGAGATTGGTAAAGTCAGCAACACATTGGCAAAATTATTACAGCTACTGGTAAACACTAAACACACTACTGGCAGAGATTGGTTTATTTTGTTATAGTGCTAGTGCTAATTTTTCATACTGAACAAACTGTTTTGGTCTCAGTTTGTCCGGCTGCATTTATTGTTGACTATGAAGGATTCTGCAATGGATGTACCTACAAATTTGGATGCTCGACGTAGGATCTGTTAAACAGAAGGTTTTGGGAAACTGCACGACACCCGTAAAGGGGTGTGGCTATCTCATATATATAAGGAGTACATGGGGTGTACGATACAATATACAAGATCTATACAGAGGCTACGTATAAATACAGTCTAACACCCTCCCTCAATCTTAACTATGCCCTGAGGTACAAAGTACGTTAAGATTGCGCCTACAGCCTACAAACTGAGGTTGTGGTAGAGGCTTCGTGAAGATGTCAGCAAGTTGATCTTTAGAAGAGATAAACTTGATAGAAAGTAGCTTCTGTGCAACACGTTCCCGCACAAAGTGATAATCAACTTCAATGTGTTTGGTCCGAGCATGAAACACCGGGTTAGACGATAGATATGTCGCACCAATGTTGTCACACCAAAGGACAGGTGACTGGGGTTGAGGAACTCCCAACTCTCTCAACAAGGACTGTACCCATATGATCTCAGCTGTAGCATTGGCAACTGCCTTGTATTCAGCCTCAGTGCTACTCCTGGACACCGTAGCTTGTTTATGAGCAGCCCAGGCGATCAAATTAGGACCAAAGAAGACAGCATGTCCCCCCGTGGATCGCCTGTCATCTGGATTACCAGCCCAGTCTGCGTCTGAAAAAGCTGAAAGTGCAAAAGACGGCGCTGGCTGAAGAAGTAAACCATATGCGGCAGTGAGGCGTACATAACGAAGAATACGCTTCACCGCTGTCCAGTGAGTAGTCCGAGGAGCATGAAGAAACTGACAAACACGATTGACTGCGTAGGAGATGTCAGGCCGAGTGATGGTCAGATACTGCAGACCACCAACAATACTGCGATACTCAGTAGAGTCATCCGAAGTGAGAGGATCTCCATCAAATGCAGACAAACGATCAGTAGCAGACATAGGAGTCATGGCATGTTTACACTGTAGCATACCTGCCTTGCGCAGCAAATCCATGGAGTACTTATGTTGGGTGAGTGTCAAACCAGCAGGAGAACGAGAGACTTCCAAGCCAAGGAAATAATGCAATGTGCCTAAATCCTTCACCGCAAAGTCACTACCCAAGGAGGAGATGAGACGATCAGCAACAGCATCAGATGAGCTGATGAGAATAATATCATCAACATACACCAGCAGATACATCGTCACCTCAGGCCGATGTAGAAGGAAGAGTGACGTATCAGCAGTGGAAGGAACAAATCCCAGGGACCGAAGAACAGAGCCCAACCTGGCATGCCAGGCACGAGGAGCCTGCTTCAGCCCATAGAGCGCCTTGACCAGGCGGCACAGATGGTGAGGGCGAGCAGAATCCACAAACCCTGGGGGCTGACGCATGTAAACCTCCTCATCCAGTACTCCATGTAAAAAGGCATTCTGAACGTCCAGCTGACGGAGAAACCAGCCTCGAGTAACAGCCAAGGACAACAGAAGTCGGATAGTCGTTGGTTTGATCACCGGACTATATGTATCCTCATAGTCAAGACCATACCGTTGTTTGAACCCTTTCGCCACTAACCGTGCCTTGTAGCGTTCAATAGAACCATCAGCATGCCTTTTAACTTTGAAGACCCACTTGGAGTCAATGACATTAACACCAGAGACCGGAGGAACAAGTTGCCATGTGCCATTTGTCAATAACGCTTGAAACTCTTGTTCCATAGCCTGTCGCCAATGAGGAATCCCAAGAGCAGCCTGAAAATGACGCGGTTCAGCCGAAGGATCTTCCTTTAGATGAGCAACACATGCTGCAAGCCACGCCACCGTCCCATCTTTGCGTTGCTTGGGACAGAAAATGCCAGACCGGCTGCGCGTGTGCGGCCTCTGAGCAACAGCAACCGGTCGTGGTGGAACCAGAGAAACCGGCGAGGCATCAGGCGACGATGGCAGTGATGAGGCAGGACCAGACGACGGCACGGAGGCGGGCGACACCAGCCCAGGCGACTCCGGCCCAGGCGAGACTGGTCCAGGCGACTCCGGCCCAGGCGAGGCTGGTCCAGAGGAGGCCGGCTGCTCAACGCCGTCCACGGCCGACCCAGGCGAGACCAATCCAGGAGAGTCGAGGGCGACACCTTCAGGCTCAGGCGATTCCAGCCTAGGAAGAGCTGGTGCGGGTGAGGCCGGGGCTGCCGACCCCGGTCGCGCGGGAGTCATGCATGGCGCATGCATGGCACCAGGCATCAAGCCAGGTGCAACCGACGACTCCTCCTGTTCATCCAATAACTCAAGACGAGCTCCACGACCTGTACCTGCAGCATGATTAGGCAACAACGCAGGAGAGTATGCAATATCAACAAATTGAGCAGGCAAGGGAGAAGTGGTAGATGAAGATGGAACCGAAGGTGCAGGAGTTATGGAGAAAGACGAGAACGGGAATACATTCTCATCAAACACAACATCACGCGAGATGTAGACACGATTAGACGGAATGTGGAGACATTTGTACCCTTTATGAAGAGAGCTATACCCAAGAAAAACACAAAGTTTGGATCGAAACTCAAGCTTTCGCTTGTTATATGGACGAAGATGAGGCCAGCAAGCACAACCAAAAACTTTGAGAAAGGTATAATCCGGAGACTCATTAAGCAACAGTTCAAGCGGTGTTTTCATTCCAAGAAGTCGTGTAGGAAGCCTATTTATGAGAAAACAGGCAGTGGAAAACGCATCACTCCAAAACCTAAAGGGTACCGATGCATGGGCAACTAAAGTGAGACCAGTTTCAACAATGTGACGATGCTTACGTTCAGCCGTGCCATTTTGCTGATGTGTGTGAGGACAGGACACACGATGTGAAATTCCAAGCTTATTAAAAAAAGAATTGAGGTTGTGATACTCACCCCCCCAATCGGTCTGAACATGGATAATCTTATGCTTGAGAAGACGCTCGACATGAGCTTGAAATTGGAGAAACACATCAAACACATCAGATTTACGCTTGATAAAGTAAAGCCATGTGAATCGACTATAAGCATCAATAAAACTCACATAATAATTATGACCACTCACAGAAGTTTGGGCATGCCCCCATACATCAGAAAAAATAAGCTCAAGTGGAGTTTTAACGACACGACTCGAATCTGAAAACGAAAGCTGATGACTCTTGCCTTGCTGACAGGCATCACAAACTGTGGCAGCATCTTTATTGGACACAATGGGAAGATTATAACTATGTAGGATACTACGAACTATGGGAGTTGCAGGATGGCCAAGCCGTGCATGCCAATGAGTGGGCGAAACACGGACACCGCTGAACGCTCGAGGAGCAGATGGTAGATCAAGTGCATAAAGTCCATCACGCAGGCGACCTCTAAGCAGAACGTCCCTCGTGGCCCGATCCTTGATAAAAAAATAAAAAGGATGAAACTCAGTGAAAACATTGTTATCACGAGTAAGTTGAGGAACAGACAATAAGCTACGAGTAGCAGAAGGAACTCGAAGAACATTACGGAGATGAAGAGATTTTTGTGTGCGAGTTAAGAGAGAGGCCTGACCAACATGTGATATGTGCATACCTGCTCCATTGGCGGTGTGAATCTGATCATGTCCACGGTACGGTTCCTGCATGGAGAGTTTGCCCATCTCGCCTGTCAGATGATTCGTAGCGCCCGTGTCCATGTACCAAGTTGGGTCGATGGAATATGATGGAGTGTGGCCTGCTTGGCGAGTAGGCTCATGAGTGGCCAAGGCAGCCTGCTTCTCGTTGCCTTTGCCATTGTTGCCGATGCCGAGGAAGTCCTGCTTGAAGCGGCGATGACAGCGGGAGGCGATGTGACCTGGAATATTGCACAGCTGACAGGGGAGCTGAACGCCACATGAGGGGCAGCAGGCACACCGACCACCCCCGGTCGTAGGCATGGCAGCGGCGGCAGGCGGTCGCTGAGTCAGTGGAGTCGAAGGCACTGACTTGCCGCCGGTGGGTGATTTGAAGGGCTTCCCTTTGCCACGCGTGGCAGCATTGGCAGCAAGAAAACTCGGGTTAGAACGGCGGGACTTGATGCGCTGTTCCGTGGCGAGAAGGCGGGCGTAGAGCTCACGAGGTTCAAGCGGAGTGTCACGGCCATTGATATTTTCAGCAAGGTTATCATAGTCGTCGTCCAGTCCGTTCATGACAAAGGTGGTGAAGTCCTCCTTACGAAGCGGCTGGCCAATGGAGGCCAAAGTATCGGCGAGACGCGTCATCTTGCCGAAATAGTCGGTGATGCTGAGGTCAAGGAGCTTGGTCTCCCCCAGCTCCGTACGAATAGTGTGAGCGCGCGCATGCTGCTGAGATGCGAAGCTCGTGTGCAGAGCAGACCACGCCTCCTGAGACGTGGCAGCGAAGAGAACCAAGGAGGACACCCCCTCGGTGAGCGATGACTGGATCGCGGAGAGGATGGCCTGATCTTGAGCAACCCATGCATGATACGCCGGATGATGCGGTGGGGGACATGGCAGGGAACCGTCAACGTAGCCCTCCAGGTAGCGACTGCGGAGAAGCGGCAGCACCTGTGCACGCCATGACAGATAGTTATCTATCGTAAGCTTCACCGGGATGAGATGCGCGAAGTAGAACGGTGCAACGGCCGCGGCATGATCAGCCACGGGAGGCGACGTGTAGTAGGCCATGTGGGACGATCCAGCAGATGCACCAGGGTCCGGCGTCGAGGACGGTGCAGCAGCTCCAGGGTAGGACGCGGCCATCGGAGGTGGATAATATCCACCGTAGGGCAGCGGCGGTGGCGGGGCACCGTAGGGCACAGCCGGTGCCCGGGCCGACCCGCTGTTAGCGGCACCGTAGGGCTGCGGGGCGGCAGTGATGTAGGACGCCGTAGCCGCAGCAGCCGGATACGGTGAGCCGTACGGGGCGGCGGCGTTAATCGCAGCAGCCGCAGAAGGGGCCCCGTAGGGCCCTGCAGTCGACGGAGGAGGAGCCCCGTAGGGCCCGGCGGTCGGCGGAGGAGGGGCCCCGTAGGGCGCCGATCCCATCCAGGGACCCGCCGGATCGGGGTACGCAGCGCCCCAGGCCTGCGGTGGCGCGATCGGGGAAGGAGGCGGCTGCGGAGCGGACGAAGGCCCCGCCATCGAGGCCTGGCCGGAGTAGACCGAGGCCAGGGGGTGCGATGAGAGGAACGGCGACGCAGGCGCCGTGGCAGGAACCGGCGCGACGGCGGCGGCGGTGGATGTTGATGCGGTCGCGGCGGCGGCAGCGGAAGACATTGGACCGGTTAGCTCTGATACCATGTTAAACAGAAGGTTTTGGGAAACTGCACGACACCCGTAAAGGGGTGTGGCTATCTCATATATATAAGTACATGGGGTGTACGATACAATATACAAGATCTATACAGAGGCTACGTATAAATACAGTCTAACACCCTCCCTCAATCTTAACTATGCCCTGAGGTACAAAGTACGTTAAGATTGCGCCTACAGCCTACAAACTGAGGTTGTGGTAGAGGCTTCGTGAAGATGTCAGCAAGTTGATCTTTAGAAGAAATAAACTTGATAGAAAGTAGCTTCTGTGCAACAGGATCACCTTCTTCGCAAACTCACTTTTTATGAAAATGCCGAGAGCACCTCAAGTGCATGATATGATATCCTTTAGGTGTGTATTTTATCTTCTATGGTACTGTTATTTCGAAAGTATGATGATGTATGCACAGTTTGTTAAACCATATGGTTGTTGTACTTCA